GATCTCATTCCTTTTTTTCTCTGCTGTAATTGTAATGCAGTTTTTCTACAATTGTCCTAAACATGCATTTAAATGTAGCTAAACAAGCTTCTATCATGTCAGAAAAACCTTTTTGTCTTTAAATCCAACATGATTATTACTTTCTGGAGCATTCACAAACTTGAGGTGTATTCGCTGAGGTGTTCCTGACGTCTACCTGGCCCGTGCTGCACGCCTCCACCTTTCAAGTTTTATGGAAATCGGGCGAGCAGTTTTCCCGTTCACATTACCCAAAATCCCCACTGGAGTGAATTCAACCCACAGCTTGCCCGACTTGAAAAGTCCCCCTTAAGAATGTTTCCACACTGATCTGGAAAGTTTCCCTTGGGGAGAGAGGCAGGTGAGACGTTCCAGAGGTGCACATATCTACCGAGCGCCAATTAGAGACTTTTCGAATGAAACCTGTTTGACCTGAGAAACGCACCCGCAGACGCTTTATCGTAAGCTGCTTCTCACTTTTAATAAGCTATTCTCCATCTCCCCATATTGACAGTTGCTGATTACGGGATGATTATGTTTTATAACATCAAAGCCTTCTCGCTAGCATGATTGGGGATATTTTGGTGAAGGCATCGATTCTAATTCTGCCAGTGATTTTCCACCAGCTGGGTGAATGACTCCAGGCCAGGTTGTGAAGGAGGAGCTGGATGTGGGAGGATGGGAAGATAATACTGTAGAAATATTTCCTCGCGGTAACGAGCAGCCCTTCATCAGAGACCCGTTGCCATAGAGACAATGCCACTATAGGGAAATCAGCTTCATGTATTCAGAAGAGACACTTCTGTCTTGCTGCTGAATCCTGATAATAGGAGTTGCATGCGTTGGACTTATTGACAGGCGAGATACGAGTTACAATGCTCACCTTTTTTGCGGGTTATGCAAAACTTTAGTCTGCAGGATATGTAAATATTCCACCACGGTAAATACATTTTAAATTTGCATGCATATTTAAATTTAACCGTTGAGTATCAGATGCCTGATAGGAGGCGTGGGTGGAAAGAGAGAGAAAAGAGTGTGAGAGAGTGAGCTGTGGGCAGCCAAGGATGCACTTGGCATCGTACCCATCCTTCTTGTAAAACTCCAGCATCATGTTGTCAGTGGCGACGCTCAGTGGGCGTCGGCTCTGGTCATGCGGCTGCTTGCGCTCGGATTGGTCCATGTCTGGCGAGGGCATGGAGCTGTAGTTGGAGTTGTGGTTGGTGTGGATCGGGCTGCCGTAGCTGCCTGTCAAGTTGAATTCAATGTCTGAGGGAGGAGCAGACACAGCGTCATCATGCGGTATAATGATGGTGTAATGATGCTGATGCTTACGGTCGTGTTTGTGTGTGTATGTGTTGGTCTGTTTGGAATCCACCACTTTTAAGAATGGGAGTTACAATATCTACTAGATAAAATCCTGATGTAAAACTATTTTCCTTAGTAATAAATACAGCAGTTTAAGGGTTTATAATTTAATGATTTCTCTCCAAAAATAGCAGTAAGGGGCATGGCAACCATAAAAGAGAACAAACCTTAAGGTTACCCGCAATTTCGCCAGTTTTATATTAATATAAAATCCAATTATGTAAATCGATTATGGCTCCCAGCCTCACAACAACATTACATACATAGTATGTGATCCCCACCTCCAGGGAAGAACCAGTCAGCATGCTGGATAATGGGCTCAATAATGCCAACAATCTGCAGTGACAGGGTGGTCATCATCTCTGTCATGTTGCTGGAAAGAATAGAAGGAATTGAACTGCAGTCGATTCTTACGAGGAAAGTTAAAGTAAGGTAGTTTTGTAAAAAAAGAAAAATACAATACAATACATACGGTTCGGTGTGTGTCCAAAGCAAGTTGGGGCCAAGAACAATTGCCATATTCCCGGGTGTCATCTTGTTTGCGTCCTGGTAGTCGCTCAACTTGGATAAGAATTTGACAAGATATCTGTGGGATTTAAATAGAAGGGGACATTTCATACCTTTTAAAAAAATACAAATATGTTCCCACAGCAACAATTTAAGCCTACAAAAGTAGACATGTTGATATCACTAGAAGCCGCTACACAATGATTACTACTGCTGTAAAAGTTACAGACAGGTGTCATCATCTCAGTGCATCATCTGCATCTCCATCCTGCAGCTGTGGTTATTTCTCTTGCCTGTAGGTGGTGCAGGTTGATTCTCTTTAAAAGGTTGTGTTTGTTATTTGGATGCTTTGTCAGCAAGAATACAAAAAGAAAACCCTCTACAGCCTTAGAAGTTGGTCAGTCCGCTCCGTGTGCCCTTCTTGTTCTCATAAGGGTAGAGCCATATTAAAACATAGTGTAATGTGTTTTTGCGACTGACCTGAAATTGTTCAAGTTGTCTGTGGGGAGTTTATCACACACTGCCATTAATGCTTGTAGTCTCTTGTCCATATCTTGAACGCTGGAGAAATCAAACAAAAAACATTATGATTCATTATTGATCGACTTCTTGATAAATGTCACCATTATTTATTTCAGCAGTTGTGGCCCCTTTTTTTAAAGGCTTTTCGGTTTTTCATCGAGGCCAAGGGCATAATTGAAGAAAATGCATTTAAGAAAGAAAACCGCAACTCACTTTGAGGCCTGAATCCATTCATCATAAAGTTCAGTGGTCATCAGTGGCTCGGGGAGCTCACGGAGGTATGATTTTAGAGCCCCTTTGGTTGAGAAAAACAGGGAGTGAGTAAAAGGTTTTAGTACAGGCGAGGCAATGCCCCATATTTCTACTCCCCTCCAGCAGGCCCTTGCAGCTAGCCGCAGCTGCCAGATTCATTTCGCTCAACACAGATTTTATGCTAATGTGTGAAATGCACAGCAATATCAGAAGAGGAAGCCAGGTGGAAAAGACGGCACTATGCCTGTCCGATGGAGAGCAACATTTTCCACTTAAGGACCAAAATCATGTGAAGAATGTATTTGAATTTGCATTTGTACATGGCGGAAAACACTGATGTTCAGTAAAAATGATTTTTTTTTTACAGTTTTCCTGACTAAAATGAGAGTGTAAAGGTATTTGTTGTGGAAATGGCCTGGAACAAGGCATTTGTGTGGGTGTTGTTCACCTGCGATGGCGTGCGGGTCGGAGGAGTACTCCTGCACATCCATAACTCCACAATCCAGGGATGCTTTCAGCTTCTTCAGCTTGGAAGCGGACGGAGCCACTCTGAAGAGGCCCTGCAGCCCCACACACAGCAAACACGTAAACTATCACATCTGACACGAGGCTGCACCAAAGTAACCTCCACTATTGTTGTACACTTGACACTGGTTGATGGTAAATAACTCGTGGCTGTACATGTTTTTGTCCTTTAATATATTGAAAAAATAAGGTAAACCATTTTCCAAAATATGCCATAAGATTCAAACTAATTAGAACAAAACATTTTTTGAAGATGAGGATATTCTCAATCTCAGAGCCATGTTTTATTGTAACGATATCACTACTTGTCTTCATCTCTTCAATTAACGTCAATAGAATTTGCGTCTTCCCAGTCTGGGGAGGATACAGTAAGGTTTAAACTATTTAATGAACATGGGAAGTAACAGCTGAATTTGATGGCACATGAGTGGTTGCAATGTTATCTGTCAAATACAAGAATGCATAAGGATGGAGTGTGACTAAAGACGACCAAAATAAGCATATCATCTCACACCTAAAAGTCCTAAGTGATGTGTGGATGTGTGTGTGCCCTCTACCTCCTCTTGCATGCCACACTCTAACAGCATTGTGACACATGCTTCCACGGGGAAGGCAATCTCTCTTCCACTAATATTTAGGTGTTCCTCCAGAGACTTGCCAAACGACGGCTTCTCCACCCACGCTTCTGCAACACAAGAGAGCAGCTTCAATCCCAGTCACACACAAACAAACCTACGCACCTCCATGGCATTTCCTCCTGGACGACCGGACCAACGAAATAATATAACATTCAAGGCAACATTTATCAATTTAATCCAAGCTGCAACTTGATTGGACGTTCAATATTAGATCATAGTTTAGTTTTTTCCCTGGTGCCACCTTCCTAATTCTATTACTTTAAAAGGAACATGTGATGTTAAGACCTCTGTTTGGTTATGCACCCGTTAACTAGCCGGTAGCAAAACTATGAAGGCGGATAATTATAGCCTAATGAGATCGTTATGTGACATGTCAGGGCTATTAACTCATTTCTTCTCAACGTGATATTGCTTCAGGTGCAGAATTTGAGCAGATCACGACAACACACACACACACACACACACACACACATACACACACACACACACACACACACACACACACACACACACACACACACACACACACACACACACACAGTAGAACACTCACCTTGGTGAGCTTTAATCTGGGGCAGAATACTTTGAAGAATCTCTAAGGACTTCCGATGATATTCCGCCTGTGTTTCTATCAGCTATAAAAGGAAAATAGATTAAAACAAACAAGCCTCGACAAGTGTATATCGTGTCCTGCTGTTTGTGTTATTGGAAAATGTGCAATATATATTTTTATCGGTGCTATAATGGAAAATGTCACTTGCTTCCATTGGGATTGCGACTGTGATGGAAAAAGATACTTACTGTCTGAAAGTAATTTGCATAGTCTATTTCTTTGGCCACAAAACTGTACATATCTGCTGACAATTGATCCTGAAACAGAAAGTAAAGAGAAACCATCCCATAAGAAATGATCCAGACCGACTATAATATTAGCATGGCAATTTAGTCAATTTATATTTGATGCATGCAGAAGGGATTTAATCTGGAGGAGGAGAAAGTATCTCAGCGGCGTAGACCGTTGACCCACCCTACAAATCTCCATCCGATTGGCTGCCTCCTCCATCTCCTCTCTGAGGGACTCGGACTTGGCGCCGGGCTGCAGCGTGCTCGGGTGACCGGATGACTTAGAGGACTGATGAAACCTATGGGTGTGAATTAAAACAAATTGGGTATGTGATAATGTTGGCGAAAAAAAACATTTAAATACTGAGCTTTCAAAAATAAATAAATAAATAAAATTTTAGAATGAACAGGAGGGGGCCTGTTGTGAATGTGGACGTCACCTTGTCCTAGAGGAGTCCATGTCCAATACAAGTTTAGCTAAGTGCTTCCTCTGTTTTTGGATGTTGGGAATGTCCACCTGCAAAAGATAATGAAATGCATGATTAATTTGAGCTCAGGGAGTACTTGCACACTCTTTGAGGTTAATGAGTACCGTATTCTCCAAGTAATCTTTTTATAGTTGGATTTAAAAGAAAATTGAATGTGAGATTGTGTCTCTTTAATGTAGTCGTATGAGGGAGGTGTGTGGTCTTAATTGGTTCTCACCTCGGCGAGCACGTAGAGAGGCTCCACCACATCTCTCTCTATCTGGAACTCAAACTGGATGAGCTCCTCGGCCAACTTCTCTTCCGTCTCCCCACACAGCTTCAGCATCTTTCTGTTGGGTGAGAAGCAAAATAGAAAATAATTAAAACACCGACAAGGGTAACGAGGACAGACTCATAATTCAATAGCTGAATCAATAATTAAAGACGTGTCTTACCCGAGGAGAGAGTCGTCCCCCAGCACCGCCGCGCCTTCTACCATACACTGTGCCAGGATTGTGAGCGGCAGTTTTTTCTGACAGAAAGTAGAGAGAAACAACATTAATGAAGCTTCTGGTTTGCATCGGTTTTCAGCGCCCGAGGGAATGATGGACAGGTTACTCACGGACGGCGACTTGACGGATCTCTTCTCAATATCAGCCCCCTGCTGACCCTGCAGGCAGGCCGTCAGCTTCTTGTGAGTGCCGTGTGTCACCTGCTTGACCAGATCCAGACGCTTCTCCACCTTGACACAAACACACGCACGTCCTGAGTCATAAACACGAGCTGCCACGTAGTAACACACGGCCGCCCGCCAGCAACATACTGCGAGTCATTCGACAGGTCTCTCCTTTTATTCAGAGCTACGAAGACTCAAACCAATGACATGGTTTTTGTTCCACCTGCTCTTTGTTTCAACTGAAAAATGCAATCGACTGGTTTCGACTGGTCGCTATTGAATGACATAAGTTATATAAGTTAAATACGTACTACAAATGCACACAATATAAAAAGGTTTTTACTTTTTTACTCAAATGTTGCATTCATTACTCTGAAAAAGCAATGTAATTTGTAACATTTGAGAACCGAATGAATAAATAATAAATATGTGATTATGAGAATAAACATTAGCGGCGGTCAAATATCAAACTTTCATGTCAGCAGTTGCCGAGAATGTTTTCAAAAGAACAACCTTAAAATCACTTTTTGGTTGAACCGCACACAGACACATGCAACCTGAGCCACTGATCTCTGGTCCAACGCAGCCGTCGTAAAAACATAATTTACACCTGTTAATTGAACACATTATGAACACATACACGCACACACACACATTTCTACGCTACGACTCACCTGTAGAAGGTCCTCACTTAACACCTCTGTTTTCTCTGCCCTGTAAAGATACAAGTGTACAAGGATTAGTGTATGCAGAGATGACTTCATGCTCCATTAAACAGCCTGTTTGCGCTACATGTGTCACCTCGGTGACAATTAATACAGCTTTGTCTACTGTAAAGTCCAGAAAGAAAATTTTATAATATATATTTCAATCCTCCTCTTGAGGAGCAACAAACCTCTGCCGCTATGGACTCCACTGTGGCACATGTGGGGGGAAATTAAAAATACGCTCACTGGATAACCTGCGAATATGTGACATCTTACATAGTGAAAATATTTTTAGAATCCAGTTTGAGGCACTGTATCCAAATAGTGTGTCATTGCAAAAATGTTTTACGGTTATTGCATTGGATGTTGACTCATCCCGTGAATTTGTACCATCATCGATGTGGCGGTGCCCCCCAGAATGGGAGGGCCACATCGACGCACCTGTCCCTTTGGAGCATGTGTGAGTGTGCACGTGAGTACAAGCGTCCGAGTGGCTGACTCTCTCATTCATGATCTTAGATAAATCCGTTGGAAGAACACATTAATTGTCAGGCGAAGCGTTCATGCTGTTAACTGGGCTGAAGCATTCGCACCCCAGTGTGAAATAAAACAAGCAGGAAAGCCACTGACAATGCCACCGATTCAAATATGCACGTTCCCACTGAGGAGCATCACGTCCCACTGTGAATCCAGAAGGCTGGGGACTCGGCCAAAGACTGAAGGAAAGGGCAGAGCTGCACTGCCGCTGAAGCAGATAAAACTACTCATCCGGAGTACCGAATGAGCCGTAAGCTCAGGAAAGAGCAGGCCACTGGATATCATGGATACACGGCTGAGTTCAGACAGCTTATATTTTAAGACCGTGGTCCTTTTTGTGCAAAGATTCCCAACGGAGCTCAATGTGCCTTTTATAACCCTTCCAGAAAAGATCAAATCTGCTAATTACACTGACATCAATTTTGGTTGTTTTCCAGAATTCCTTTAAATACTCTCGGACACCAACAAAGGTCATATCTGAAGCAACAATCCAGGACTACCTTATCAGTGTGGTGTATTTCCTGCTCAAGAGGGCTGTGGGCCAACAATGGATCCAACTATCTAAAAATGACTCCAAACCAGACTTGTCGAGCGCCAGCAGTAACCCAATGGTGCCCACTTTCTCTTAGCGTTCCCCTTCCTGTCTGCCTGACCTCTTCCTGCTATTGTGCCCCAGCAATACCAATACCAATAGTGGATAATAGCTTTTTTTTGTCTCATTTGTTTAAAAAACGAAATCTGAAATTGTCTCACTGTCAACCAAGAGAATGGAAAAGCCCTTTGTTTGTGCTGTTATTCAGCCGGACAATGACACATCAGGAGCACATGACTGGAATGATCTTTTCATGTGGGATGTCTTATCACTCAGGCCAGAAAAGGTCTGCCTAAAAACGGCATAAAAGAAACTCATAAGCGTCCGTTAGATGTTGTCTTATCATCGTGTGTACGGATTCCATACGTAGAAAGCTGAGATTTAACGATGTCCATTTTTGGCACCATGGGAACTGGGTCAAGTCACGTACAAAATGGATCTTATCGCGATTGGCCGGATGGAAAAGTCCTCCGCTCACTGAGGACGAGACATATGCGCGTGTGTGTGCATGCATAAGGTTGACAGAGTTAATGTTGTAGTTTCTGCCACGATTTTTAAGGATAACTGTGATTGCAGATTGCTGATAACATGACAATTGGTGGTCGTTGTTCTATGAGCTAGTTTCCCAGCAAAGAAGTATTGTACATATCTGTCCTGTGAAGGCACAGCTATGAAATAAGAATGCTGGAATACGGTACAATGTGCACTGCATGTCCTCTGCGAGCTCATATAAAACCGGCAGGAGATTTTGGAGGTGAGAAGTGAAATTCCTCTGAGCGTATACAGCTCGTGCAGAATGAGCCCTGGGAGGAAAGTAAACACGTGGGAGAGGTAGCAGCCGGGTGGGCGGTGAGCTCAAGAAGGGAGAGGAAGACTAGTGTTATGCCAACCATCTGCCACCTTGTAGGCATTCCTCTACCTGGAGCTGCTGATGAACCAATACAAACACGCATAACACACACACACAATTCTTTTCAGACCAACACAATAATAAAATTTGACAAAATTGTGCTTTCTTTGAAACAGCAAAACAAGGAAAGTAATACAAATGTATGAAATCATGGAAAAACATGGTGAATTGTGGGTAAACTAAGTAGTTGAGATAATAAGGTTATGGGCCAGAATCCGAATAACTCCTTCACCTCTGGTGATGTATAAAAAATGTGCTGATAATGTGAATTCTTTCCCAAGTCATAGTAATTCCATAAGGGTGGAAGTCAAATCCCAAACTGTCCATCCAAACATCAGCTGCACATTCCATACAAACATCCATCCATCCATCCATTCATCCATCGTCAAACCACTTATCCTGCACACAGGGTCGCGGGGGGGCTGGAGTCCATCCCTGCCAACTTCGGGCGAGAAACAGGGTACATCCTGGATTGGTCGCCAGCCAATCACAGGGCCAACACAGAGACACACAACCATTCACACTCACATTCACACACCTACAGGCAATTTACAGTCCCCAATTTACCTGCTCCCCGGAGCATGTCTTTGGACTGTGGGAGGAAGCTGGAGAACCCGGAGAGAACCCACGCAGACACGGGGAGAACATGCAGACTCCACACAGAAAGGCCACTGGGCGGAGCCGAACCCAGGACTTTCTTGCTGTGAGGCGACAGTGCTAACCACCACGCCACCGTGCCGCCCTCCATACAAACATGTTTTATAATAAATACTTCTATCTGGAGATATGTTAATGTTGGAACCGCTCGTGCTCCGGCCCCCCAGCACTGTGAATGGTTCATGAAAGCATGAATAATCCATGTTGACATAATCAAAATGTGAATAAAATAACATCCACAGACTTGGGCGTGTTGCCTTGGCAGCTGGCCAACTCTTTACGTCCACGTGTGATTTCATCCGGGACGAGGAGAAGAGTGCTCACGCTCTGGTTCGCTCCCACTGCTGGCCTAGCAAACAAAAAGGGCGCCGCGTCCCGGGGCGCGAGGGAAGGGGAGCGGAGCCGGATGGCGGCCCTGGGCCTCAGCGGGGGGGGGCCTCCACGTGGCCTGGAGCGATGGCACGAGAACCACAGTCAGCCCCAAACTCACAGACACACATGACAAAAACACGCTGCAGTGTTCATGCTATCTGCTCTGTGAACACTTCTCCGTTTACTGCTTTCCCCGGACGTTTGCCTCGCAATCGAAACCCGGAGGCTCACTCGGTTTCCTCCCAAATGACGAGGCGGGAGGGCTGATGGGAGACGGGGTTACTAAAACAGAAAAACCCACTTACTGTAGTTGTCCAGCAAACTAGGTCACTGTTCTGTTAAGTATGCAAGAATAACCGTGAGAGGAGAGCGCGCACAGACACGCGCACTCACGCAAAGCACACACATGTCCAGAGAGAGAGAGAGAGAGAGAGAGAGAGAGAGAGAGAGAGAGAGAGAGAGAGAGAGAGAGCCTGCAGCCTTCTGCAACGTTTCAGTGGAAACACAAGCAGTGAGTTATCGCTAATAACTTTATTCATGGTGAATAATCTCCACAAGAACTCTATGACTTTGAGTTTTTACACCTGACATCTGCACCGAGGATGTGCGCACACACACGCACACAAACGCACACACGTGCACGGACCTAAACGATTTCAAATATCCAGTAGAGATCATTCAAATTAACAATAGAATGAGGCAACAAAGGTCAATGGTAAAAAAATAAAGATTCTCAGCCGTTGTTATATTCTGTGGGTCGGGAAAGCCGATCGACTGTGATGTAACGGATAATTCTAAATGCGCGTTTCCAGGCAACGCATAAAGGAAGAATCATCTTCTTTCTTTGAAGAGCAAACTTTTGAAAGAAAAACAATAAACTCTGAACATTTAAGGTAAACAAAACAGGATATAGTTATTATTGTTATTATTAGTGGAATAGTGCTTCCTGTTTTGAGTTTATTGGCATTCCTGAATGGACGGAAGGTGGTGCGACCTGAAAAGTTACTTTAACAATACCGATTGAGAAGTTATTTATAGTTATAAGCATGTGTTACCATGTGTATGTGCAGCATATTAAACCTTAGCTGACCCTGTCTCACACTTTAATATAATGTATTTGCTGCATTTCAGGCCCCTTCCTGTTGGAGAACAACAGACTGGATCAACCCTTATGACACCACAGTCGGGTTCAAACCAACTTCTAATGCAGCAGTTCAGTAGCGACAAAAACAAACTCAAAGTGCACGTACTCTAATGCTGAATTTTTAGTGAAGCGCATGAATGTGAACTGTTAAAGATTTTACTCTTTTTATAGACACAGCACAACAGAAAGGGAGAAGGAGCGCTTCGGTCCGATATTACATCATCTCTTTTTTGATGACCAGAACGGTCCCCTTACAAAGGCTCTTTATCACCAGCTCCATCGTGCAGTAAGCTGTCTCGGAGAGGCACTGGGGGGGTTATGGAGGGTTATCAACATGGTCCTCTTACGCTCCCTGAATGGCACAGTATTAGATCTTGTTTTAAAGAAATATACACAATCGAACACCGGCAATGACGCATTTCCTTATTCCTCACAACTACATGAAGACTTTTGAATCGCCTGCCATGTGAGGATGAGCGAAACAAGGCACCGAGGTAGATGAGGAAGAGAGACAGAGGAGGAGAGGCCGCTTTGGCATTTACATCTCATGTTACCTGTTAGCTACTATGTTCGTTTGTCTCACACACATTCTTGCCGTGAGGTCTCCATATGTGCTGAATGTAACGTTCATAATGTCGGCACATTGTTAGACAGAAGGGAAGGAGAAAGACATGGTGTTTAATTAATAACTTGTAAGTAAACATTGGGTTGAACTTTAAGTTGCTTTTGTACCCTTGTAAATTGCAATGTTAATGCATAGAAGAAATTGTGAACTTGCAACTTTGCAAAAACAAAAAAATTGACATGCATTACAATAAAAATGTAGACCTTTTAAATGCAGAAACAAACTGGTCAAAACTTAAAAAGATACCCAGATACCCAATCCACGTATCTGAGTCAATATCGGTCCAAAATCAGGGCATCACTATGAAATGTGCACTTTTCATGTATAAAAAAAGAAAACAATTGTGCTTTTTCATTTCTATTTTGGGTGAGATTCACTGACAGACTTACAGACTTGTGTCGTGGAATCGTTTGTCCTAGACCTACATAGCACAGCGGATTGGGAATAGACAAATAGGTCATACGAAATGGAGGGTGTGAGCGCGCTAGAGCAACGTGTTCTTTGCTTAGCTTATTTTGAGTGTGAGGGCATCGAATGAATCTTCTGACCATTTTTTACATCGAGTAGAACGCTTACGGTCTCTATTAAGGCTTAAATAACAGAGCTAAACCACGAACAGAATGGCTGTAGCTGACAAACACAACAACAACAAATGATGTATTACCAAAATGCACACAAAGACTCTCTTCAGAGCTGTGACACCATGTTGCCCCCCCAGCCTCCACCCACTGTGCCATTTCTGTTAGCTATGGAGTATGCATGGCTGCACATCCTCCAGCATGAAGTATTGCTCCACGGAGGTGATTGGTCAAGTTGACGATCACATGACATGGATCTCACCCTCTCAGCGGCAGCAGCAGCCTCGGGGAGCCAGAGAGAAGCTGACACAGCACACCTGATCGCCAACCCCCCACCCAAGAAGCCCTTCAATCACCGTCGCACGGAAGAAAGACTCATACTGTCCATGCAGAAGGACTTGCTTGTTTACCGCTTGATAAGAAAACTCTCCTGCTCCTATAGAACTGAGACGGATCATTGTTGTCAAAGTCATACAATTTCCAACACGCAGTCTCCTCATGTAGATGCGCTGGGTTCTTTAGACCGGCCCGCAGCGTTAGTGGCTCCGCTGAGGACCAGGAAGGTCAAATACATAGAGAATAACACTAATTCCAATCTGAAGATGGAGTATGCTTGAGTTGGTTTAAATAATCCCATTTTTGCAGCGTATCATTTGGAGCCTTGAAACTCCGCTCATACGGCAAACCAGCGGAGAGAATACAAGCTCAAGTGCTGTGTGACGCAAAGACGGGAAGAACAACACGGGCGAAAAATGTTTGCTGAACGTTTACATCAAGATGCCGGATTAACCTGCACATTTGTCTGACCTCCACCCTGTGATCCCGCACAAACACAACCAGGCATGCGTGTGCAAGGACACGTGGGTCACAATGTCGTGTGTGCAGACACACAAACCTAATTTCCCTCTCTGTGGTAATATCAACGTACACTCAAGACAAAATCCTCGTTAGGGCCCTCAAAGTGTTATTAATATAAGAAGGTGACAGTCTTTGCAGACTGGTAATAAACAAGGACATGCTAACCTTTAGGGCTCATCTTTTATCCACGCGAGTTAGACTTGCTGGCTGGTTGCTGGGGACGGCACACGGCGGGAAAACAAGACCTACGTTTGACTCCGCTCAAGGTCACCGGAGGGTCAGACCTGTTACTTTCTTGCCCCGATCCAATGCTCAACGTGGGTTTGGGAGCAGTGGTACTGGCAGACCACCTCGGCGGGTAGCTGCTCGGTGACGGACAGCTTCAGAAGACAGTGTTTGAAGAATATTATACTCAGTAAGTGGGTAGTGCAAGAACACACAAACACACACTGACACACGCACACACACAAGGAAACACGGCCTTCTTTGCTCTCATGAAATTGGCCCACAACCCTCATGGCCACAGACACATCCATCCAGAATCAAACACACACTAATGAGTCACACAGAAGTAATTATAAAAAGCCTTTGATCAGCCTCCAATCCAACTGACAGTGGCACCAGGAGCAGAGCCTGCAAGGTGTGTCCCCCTCCCTTCTGAGTGCACGCCTCTCACGCAGCTCGTGATGATACTCACGCCTTCTGGTTCTGATCCCTTCCAAGGAGGCGGGAAGAGACGTCAGAACCACGCAGATGCAGGGCAGAGTACACAGAAGACTGCGAGGAGGGGAGATGGAAAATCCTCCCACGTAAACCTCTCCGATGGACTTGTTTTAAGCAACTACAGTGGCATAAAGTAGCGCCTAGAGGGGAGGCTGAGAATATAATCCCATTATTCTAACTGAAATATGTTAGATAAATGCCAGCTGGGGAATGCGACCTTCAGGAATCCACGGACTGGGATAACCCACGCCTGTGGAGGTGCTTCCCTCCTCCTCACAGCTGATATTACTGCGTAATGAAAACATTGCGCCCCCCCCCCCCCCCGGTTTTTCCCGCACCGCATCCGTGCGCATCATCGCTCACCTATTGACGGGTTCTGTGACAGGAGGGAAACGCAATAAACACCCCAACTCCACAATCTGCACGTTGTTCAGACTCCTGGGCGGCTGCACAGTCTTTGAGATGGGCTCGTGTTTCTGTGAGGGTCTATATTTCATGTGTTTCCGTGGGCAGGTCGCACCGGGGCAATGCGCCTCCACGCTGCCTATGCGGTAGCCTCTTCCAGTGGACATTACGCATCGGCGTGAACGTGGGTCTTTCTTTTCTTCCTTTACAATTTGTGCACTGACCATGGACTGTTCTGCATATTCAATAACACGTTTAAATAATTCATATTTGCATGGAGGTGTTTTAATCTAATCGGGGCCATACGGGGGTGGGAGTGTGTGTGTGTGTGTGTGTGTGTGTGGGTGTGTGTGTGTGTGGGGGGGGGTTCTCCCTCCCTTTGAGGGTAGAGCCCGGATGAGGGGGGGTTGCTTACCTTCCCACCGTTTGGTTGGCGAGCTGTCGCATCCGATTGAATTGCTTCTTCATCTTGTATTTTCTGCGTTAACACCTACAGGGGGAAATATTCCGCATTATTTCTCTCACTATAACGGCCCGTGCTCCGCAGAGGCGCAAAAACACTAAATCCAGTCCCGCACGTCTTCCGTCCCTCATCGCAGAGTCCCAGCGCCGGAAAAAAAAACCCTGCTTCCACGGTTACATGTTTTGGGATGGTTGTGTTTTATGGCTGCATCCTCCCCGCTGCCTGCGCAGGGATGCTGGAGCAGTTCACCGCGGGCACTCGGAGGGAGAGAGAGAGAGAGAGAGAGCGACAGCAGTGACCGGTCGCAGCTGCGCAGCAATGCAGTCTGGGAAATGTAGTAAATCAATGGTGACGCTCAAAAAAGAAGCCAAGCCGGCCGATTCCCAGAGGGCTATGCGGCTTCATCAGATAGGAGTTTATTTGAATTCACGTGGTTTACATTCAAGTGATTTGCCTGGTTGAGCTGTTATGAGTATAAAAATGGAGAAAAAAAATGTATCCACATTTTACCTTATCATAGCGCTTTAATTAGCTGTAGTATAATGTTGCAAAAATCCTGATCTAATGATATTATATGTTGAGATAATACGGGTCAAATAATACTAATAGTATTTTCAATATTAACAACTACATAGTTGTTCAATTATTGAAGCAATTTCCGAATAATTATAAATTGACAGAGAGACATTTTCATTACGACAGATTTTTAATGATGACTTTAATGTGCTCTTATCCTATATTCTATCATATTACGCCCACTTGCGTCCAAATAAAACCTTCCTCGCCGAGAGTCAGAGGGGTAAACATCTCCATCTGGTGCCTTTTGTGTGCTAATGCGACAAAACGGCACAAAGGGGCACCAACTCACTCTTAATTTCCAATTACAATATAAACTGCTAAATTTGGGCTGCGGTCATTATGGTCGTAATAAAATAGTTAGTAATTAGTTAGTAGTTAATAGTTAATGATAGTAAAAACTATACAATCAAAAGCTTTCAGAAATACGTTTTGCTTTCCTAAGCTGGTTTAACATTTCCATACAAACTATGAATTGTTAATGGTTCCTTTGTTTTCCCTTTCTTCTAGAGGTTTAAAGGAACTTTTTAGCAGTGCTTTCAACTGTCCAGAAGGGGGCAGTCTTGTCTTAAGAGACGCTGAACATCTTCAGCACAACAATGTGAAGCACCACCTTTAGCACTATGATGGGCTATTGGTTTAGGATATTTGTAAACGTATAATACGTTGAACTTTTCACATAAAACTCTTGACTTGGTGTATATTCATCTAATGAGCTCAAAAGAGCCAGTTTCCTTAATCACAAACGGAAGTTTTTCATAGACGTCATTGAGTGATAAACATAACATTTTCTAATCTGAATATCGATTCTCTGGTGAGATAATCTACGATATAATTGTAAACACAAATGTGACTTCAACCATTTTGTATCAAGGTAGTCCAGTTGTTGTTTTTTTGAAGACACAAGACAATTAGGAGTATGCTGGAGACTTTAAAAGCCGCTCTTTGCTGTAACAGAACCACAAACCCAATTGAGGGCTGGTGCCCTCCTGCTCGTTGTCACAAGGCCCTAACAGGCCAACAGGTGGGCTGCACACCACTAACACGGGGTCCCGCGTCCTCAGGGAGTAAATAATACTGCTCAATGCCCTCATTAATCTCCCAAGTTGGAAATTGAGACGGGGCGGAGAATCCTTCAGCCTTGATCTCCACCTTTTGACCTTGTCAGATCATTTGTTTTCATTAGTCCCCACAGATGATCTGGCCAGTCCCAATCCAGCCCCAACACCTCCCCCTAAAAACAGGGGTTCTCCAGGGGTCTTCTTGCCTCTAACCCCAACCCCCCCAAAAACGTGTGCTGCTCCAGAGTGTCTCTGGACACTTCTAAATCAGCATGGATGACTCTTCACATCCGCTGGTCCTATTCAGAAACCCACTCCCTGGTAATCCCTCGACAATGAACAGGGGAACAGCAGGGGGACGGCGGGGACGGGGGGACATTAAGTCATACTACAAGTGAATTCAGAGGTGGATTTCAATTCAATCCCCAAATATAGGTTTGTATCTTGTTGCTGTTACTCTCTCAGCATAATGCTCCCGTACCATACCGATGGCCCAGTGACATGTGAGCTGCACTTTGACAGTGAGCCGTGCGTCCTACAATGGAGCATGGTGTCATGCAGTCTGGAATGCTTAGGTCTTGCTGAAAACATAATGTTGGGAGCACCAAGTGTTTGCTTTGCTCAAAACAAACAAAGGTAGAACACAGGAAGGACGTAATTGCACCATGTGAGCTCAGGTTAAAAGCTGCCCGGTCAGCAGATTGCAAGATTTGCGGTATCGCCACGTACATCATGCTTGTGTTTTATCCTCATACAATAGCATTGTATTACCCAGATCAATCAGTCTGGGTGTGAGGGGTGGGTCTCTACATGCCTTTGGTCTGTCATTAGGGAAGTGTGACATATTCATCAAGGAGTCGTGTGCGAGGCATCAGGGAGATACCATGAGTTTTGCAACCTCCGGCCAAAACTGTCTTTCTTCAATACATATATATTCACTTTTATGTTGATTTTGCACCAAATATAATCAATCACGCATTACAATTTGAGTCAAATAAGAAAGCAAAACATATAGATGCAGTTTGTCTCTGGCAGACTGGGTGTGGAGAGACCAAACGCACCATCGGCATTAACGTCGGGCTTCTCAGGTAAGCCTGAGTGCCGAGGCCAGACTTTGTTGTTGTGTCTTTAAAGGGATCTCTAAGGCCATAATGAGCCCCAGTTAGCCTCAGCGCCGAGCCTAATGAAAACGCTGCAACATCTGAGGGGGAAAGACATCACAGGTCTAAACCACACAGTCCGCTTTAAAATGCATGAAATGACAGAAAATGATGGTAATCACAAACACCTTTCAGACGCTAAATGCAGGTCTGCTTGCTGAACCGACTTGGGGTCGGGAGACGCGAGCTGAGCACTCAGCACTGATGGCACGTTGGACACTGCGCCTGGAGAGAGACGTAAACAAGACAGGGAGACGCTTTTTTCTCTGGGCAAACGAAAAATCTGCTGGTGACCTCGTCATCAACGAGGTATAAATAAGGTGTGGACATCTTTTTCAGAATATGGCGTTTTCGTAGCAGCAATAAAGGTGTTACCTTTCACACCACACCTTTCATCACATGGCTCTAACAGGACGCAATGAACACCAACTCAATAACTGCTTGCCAAGGTGTGGTTAGCTTCAGCTGCGGTGTATTGTGAATATGTTGTGCTCAGAGACAAAGCATGTTTCAACATGCGAGCACTCTCATGTAATACACGGTAGGTCTTTGCTTAAAAGAGAGTATGAATAGAAAACAAATGTCTGTGAGAAATGGCCGTTTTTTCTGTGTGGAGGATCAATAAGTTTATGGCTCTGTACGACTTACAGAATAAACAAATAAACAAGACTATCAGAAGGTTGTCTTGCTATATCGTTATTCTTAATTCTTGTTATCAGTCTCCCTCGGTTGGATTCCTCGTAAAAATTGGATGAAATCCTTTATGAGAAACTCTTTCAGGTCACCGCTAGGAGCCAACAGCGACACCACACTGCTGCAGGCGGAGGCCATGATGATGTTATTATTGATGCATCGTGTTGATGCTCTGAAATAACTACAATGTATCTGCAGCTTCCTAATTTCCTCCTTTGGATCAATTAAGTCACATCTTAGTTTATAATATTACTTCTGAATTTATAGTGGCATGAAAAGAGTAAATCCTTGAGTGAATGCCATTTGCAGACTAAACCTGTTGATTTCACATTTTGCTACACAGTATTTTTGGGGTAGTGTAGATGGAACATTTTCACATGATAACACACGCAAGCAGCACATTTGAATTGGGACCTTCTGAAACTGAGGCCTTCAGGTAGCCGTGGCTACATTTCATGGATCTGAAAGACGTGTTGAGCTTGGATGGTTCAGGGTTAGATTTACAGGCAAGATATTACGGCTGATTGCTCATAGACCAGAGAAAAAGTCAGAAGTATACGGAGCCAACAAAGCTGAATTACAGCGCTGGAACCAACAACACTTACCTAAAACACGAAGCCATGGAGAGGTCAAGAATGGCTCCACCATAAATCAAATGTTCAGAGAACTTCTCTCAGTTAAGGCCTTTGTAATGTGCGTTTGGCAAACTGTCTTGATCATGACCGTAGGAAAGTATGTGTACCCAAGGTGGTTTAAGTGGTTTACGGTATTTGCCTACCCTTAGTGCTGCAGTGTGCACTGTAAATCTGGAAGAGATGAATTTTAAATGGACAGCCGGAATGAAATATGCATAGACGGAACATGTCTCCTGTGCGGCACTGTGTTTATCCAATGCTAATGACATGGTTAGCCCTGCAGGGATACTTCATGATCATCAGTGTGCTGTTTCTATTGGCTTCGTACAGCTTCTTCATGCTGTGTCAATGTGGATCGAGTATTTTATCATTCAAATGTTCAAGGTTTTTTTTCGTGGACATGAAGTGGAATGAAGTTTGCAAATCGGTCCCCTCAGGATTGGGTTGAAAATGTGGAACTTAATTTAATAATCAGCCTCCTTTTCCTGTTGACATTGGTGTTGAGGAATGTAGGAAGCATCGCGTCAGTGTTGAAGCTTCGATGACTTTCTGACCTTACCTCCTTCCACCCGGCGCTGAACTCCATTAAGAGCCGGCCGCAGTCTGTAATTTTACCAACAGCCTCTTATCATTTCAGCCATCTTTCTGCAGAGAATAAAAGTCAGCGGTAATGACAATTGCGTTGGTGATATACGAGTGGAACGCTGAAAAATTGCATATTTCTAACGAATGTAGTTCAAAGAATAACAGCATGTGCGTTGGAGTGTTTTCTGATTTCTTTCAGTGGTCCGCTTGGAAATGTAATGTATAATTTTGCTACACAGAGGATTTTTGGATCATTTACTGTTCACAAACTATTTCACTAATGCATGCCTGCAGTTTACTACAGCTGTATTTTTTTTTTTTTGTCATGCAGAGAGCCGTAACCAGCCAATTTGTAGACTTTTATGAGACCAAAAAAAGAGTTACAGTTGTTTGTCGGGCTTGAACATAAAAGTTCTATGAAAGTTTAAAACATAAAAATTCTATGACAAATCCCCCCCCACCCCCGCCCACAAAAGAATTTGCTTTGGAAAATAAGCATTCAGAAGAAGAATTAATCAGAAATATAATTACCTAAAATTGTAGCCATTCAG